CAAGAAGCGATTAGCCCAAAAAGGTTTTTCCAGGTTGCTTTCTTAGGAAAAGAAATCGGTATAACCAAATGGCTGCAACTGGTACAAGCCTATTTAATTACAACATCCTCTGGGCATAGGCATCACAGGGCAAATTAGATCCACCCTGAGAGTTCCCCAACTTGAACACAGCTGGAGTAGGTACTTGCATATGGCTTTATAGCACAGCACAAATAAATGTTACTGTAGTTACTACACTGAATGGAGCTCAAATATGGGTAACAGGGAGTATAGAGGCACGCAGCAACAAGAAGAGAGTGGGGGAGGATAAGTTTCTGTGTAAGACGATGGGAAGGATGAGGGTAAGGAGTTCTGGCTGGCACCATCTCTGACAGACTGGCATTTCATTTTGCCTAACTAGCTATAGCTTCCTTTCACAGCTGGCTAAAAAAGAACAAGATAAAAATCTATTAAGACTAGTTATTATGACACTATTAATAGCTGATACAAGAGCGTACAATGAACACCAGCGTAGATATAAGGGCAGTTCAAGTCTGTCTGAAATCAGTATGCAAGTGTTATCCGTAGATCTATTATGGAGATGTGCGAAGCTGTTTCCAGACACCAGATTAATAAACGTATCTGTTAAACCGAACAGTTGCATCCATTCATCACTATGCACAACACCACAGTGCAACCAGAGAGGATGTGATTTTCCTGAACCCAAACACAGCAGCCGGCAGAGAGACCCAGCTGAGCAGAACCCTGCTATTTAATAGAGGTCCTGCAAAAGGGCAGCAGGGAAGCCTTCCGCAAGGGGGGAGGACCCCAGGGGTAAATACAAGCTGTACTGTAATTGAGCTCACCACAAAAATAGAGCCTAAATGAATGTAAGCGGTGGTTACAGACTTAAAAAAAAAAAAACAACGAACTGAATTACTCACCTAAGAGCAAGTTAGGTCACAGTTAGGCACAGTAAAACCTCTGACTAAAAACTGTATACTAAAAACTAAGCTGTCTCTGCTTAGCTGTCACCTAAAAAAAATGAATTCTTCAAATGCCTTCTCCTGTGTGGCTTTGAAGTTTCCCAGATACTCAAATTTGCATCCCGGGAATACCACGGCAGGGCTGAGCATCTAGGTGTGTATCTCCCACATAAACTCGTTCAGGATCCAGAAACTGCCAAGTTACCTGAGGGACGTGATACAAAGAGCTTTCTGCAAGCGCTTCATCCATTAGTCTACTAATGAGGATGATCCCCACCACTTCTGCAGAAACTAAAATGCTGCATGAAACAAAGTCAAGAGAAAGTCCAAATAATACCGTGTTCATAGCCTAGTAGTTGGTGAGGGGTGAGAAGTGGCCCCTGCTTTAGAGAATGTGTCCATATTTTGGAGGCAAGTGAAAATGAGTGTTAGTGTCCAAGGAAATCATATGAAGTAGTAGAAAGAGTAGAAAGGAAAGCAGTACTACACTACAATTCTCCTAAGATGTTTTGAAAAACATGCTCTGAGAACATAGCCAGGTGATTGAATGTCCCTCAGCTACAACCCTCTGTCTCCAAAGGGGAGGTAATTCTTACCTGGTTGCTCACACTGCAAGGCTGACTGCCCCTCAGCAAGGACCTGCACAAATCCTGCTAAGGCAGGGCACAGCGCTCGGTCAAGAGCTGGCAGGCGTACCACTGGCAAAGCTGTCCAGCTTCACGGGGTGGGTGTGAAGCGCCTGCGGTCCAGGAACACCATACCAGCAGCCTGTCTGTTGGATTGCGTGTAATGTACTACAACGAAAGGAGGTCAGTCACAAGATACCTAACACAGGCAATGGTTTTGTACAAATACAACATCTTGTAATGAGAAGCATCAGAACAACTCAATACTAATAAAGCAGTGGCACAAAGGCTGGGTAAATGATGCAAAGCCCTTCACCACTGTGGCCTTCAGAGATAATAAAAAGATACACCAGCATGCCTCGTCACTGAGACCACAGGGTATGAATACCATTACAGAAGCCCGACTATCAGCAGTTCCTTTTCTAGACCCACTATGTGACTACATCTTTCCTCACCAGGTTCCCCATAACCTTTCCTTTTAGAGGGATTTTTCACCTTCTTAAAGGGACCTATTAATGTTAATTGGACAAATGAAAGCCTGTTAGTCTGCTCTGCCCCTGTTGAAGCATATCTTCTTTCTTGGCTGTGAGGTGGTTACGTTATAAAAACTGGGTAAGACACTTGGGGGGTTAGGCTTGGGGTACTGGTTTCATTAGGAAGATAGAGGTAGTTAAGTGCTCCCTTTGTGTATGTGGGATTGAGGTTGAGTTATTTGTGCTCACAGCTGGGTCTGAAGTTGCTTTGGGGTTGCTCCTGGTGTACCTAAGTTAGTTTTAATTTCTCTCATTAAATATCAGGGCAGGGGGGGAGTTCAGGTTGTGCTCGTTAAAGAGGCTTGTTAGCTAGCGTAGGGTGATGTGAGGCTTAGTTTCATGTACTCTACCTGACATGTCCCTAACCTGATCTGGTTGGTAAATACACGTCCTTGCGTTAGCTTAACCTTCAGTGTTAGGCTGCCTTACCTGTGTAATCCCAGCTGCAAGGAGCCCTGAGCAGCTGAAAGCATGCAGCCAAAGCGAGCTGTCGGGGAAGCAGGGAAGGTCTGTGGCAGGGATTATCTCCATCTGGTAGGAGACCTTTTTGTTCTGGTTCCTAGAACTTCTGTGGACAGAAAACAGGGAGAAAAAAATCAATTTTTTTCCCTCCTACATCTCAAATGCTGTTCCCAGACGGCCCTATGGCCTCCAACTTGGCTTTTCTTCCCCATAAGGAAAAGGGCAAATGGATCCTTGCTGCAGGCACTTTGGACAGAAATAATTTTTAAAATAGCAAGGCGAACGAAATCTTAACTTCTGCTGGCTTCTGTAAAATCTTGAGGTTTGTTTTTAAACTTAAAAAAAAAAACTAAGCCCTCTTCTTGCTTGCTGAAGGAGAACATAAACAACTAATGCTTCAAATAGACAGAGGCATCAGACAGTTACATAAAAACAAACTGCCAGATTCCTGCATGTAGGAGTGTCTGCTCTCAATTCGGTCCTGCCTCTCTGTGCTTGTGCCTGGAAGTAGGTCTCCCCACCCTGAAGCGGCAGCTAACACAAAATGCCTGAACTGAAACTCTGGTGTTGAAGGCATTGACGACGTGGCCTGAGGCTGTCTGGAGGCTCGAGCAAAGGGTCCTTTGTAATCAGGGGACCAAGTATTTGGGGTCAGCCGAAGGAGCAGAGGAGCCACAAAGTTTTAAATATTTACTACTTCATTGAATAGCTGGAAAGACCTTGAAGTGGAGCTCTAGGGATCAGCACATACCCTCCTTAGAGTTCTGAGTATTTCGCTCGTTGTAGACCTGAAAAAAGTGAAAAAGTTATGGCAAGGAGCAAATCCTCATGACAGATTTATGCCCTCAGCAATATCTCCCATTAAACGTCTGTCTGTAAGAGTACTCATCGTGCTTGGGACCCCTTCAATATCAAGGTAGAGGAAATACATGAACATCTAATGTGGCAGTTTTGTGATTAGATTGGTAAAGCACATGACAGATATAGTCTTCCCTGTAAAGAGCTATTCAGCCATTGAAGGACCAGGGTTTCTCCCTGGGTGCATTGCATACTCACAGATGAATGGGGTTATCTCTCAGATAACAGAGATTTATGGTGTTCTGGAAGAGCACAATGAATTGTTACTTTTTTGGAGTTGAAGGAGGTGGTTTAACTGAGAACACCCCCAGCTGAGCTCTGAGGTTAAATGGCTAGGCTGCTTTTTTCCTGAAGTAGAAGCAATGATGCTGTACTGAAAATGGCACCTGAAAAAAAAAAAAGGAAACCAAAACCCAGCAGGGCTAAGGCTTCATTTCAGGGAAATACAGGCAGGGATTTGAAGTGCCCAAGCTGAGAAGATCTGCACTGCATTAATTAAATGTTATACTTGGAACCAAATTAACAATGAACAGTTTTTAACCATAGTTTGTGAACTATCCAGTGAGACAAATGGGTCTGAGGCAGGGTTGCCCTTGGTAATCACGCATCTCTTGCATAAGATGGAGGTAAAAATAAAAACCAGTGCACGTGTGCAGAGTTGTTGGCCGTGCTGGCACCTCCCCGCCCCCAGCATCACGAAGAGCAGACGCAACTTCGTCCTCATTCAAGGCACTGGGCGGCCTCGTGTCTCCGCTAATGCAGTGTAGGAGCTCCTCATCCCAAGCCCGGGACGTAATCTCCTTCAGGCTGCTTCTGAGGTGCCTTGTACGCCAAGTCAATTAACTTTATTGGGGAAGCCTTCAACCGGCAGACCCAAAGCAACTCGAGTAAAAGGCGAGGCAGAGCTAGGCTCGGTACAGGCACGGGACCTGGCAATAAATAACCCCTAATAAACGAGTCGGGGCCCTCGGTGACTTCAGGCACCCACCTCTGCCGCCGGCGACCCCACCGCGCCCCGACACCCCATCCCCTGCCTGGGCAGCAGCGGCGGCCGTCGCCGTCTTTCCCCGAAGCGGCAGCCGGGTCTCTCCCTCTCCGGAAGGCCCTGGGCGGGCGGGGGGAGGCCGGCGAGGCCCGTCCCTCACGCCTCGGGTTAGGGGAG